CATTACTTAGGCAAGTGGGTTTTTTTATACAATGGAGCTGAGCTTTACTGGTAACCCTTTCAGAGGGAAACCAAAAATACAGAGAGACATTGTGAGCTGTTTGGTCTGGTGGAGGGTRTCCCTGTCCTTGGCAGGGGTTTGGAACTATATGGTCCTTAATGGTTGGGCTTCCAACCCAAACCATTCCATGGTTCTGTGATTTGGAAGTGATGCCAGCCCCCTGGGAGCACTCTGCCTTCTTCAGCTGGGCTGGGGAGCGCAGGGCATGGTTGGGTGGCCTGTGTCCATCTGTCCATCCTGCTAAAGCACTGTCTAGCCCTCTGCTTTCCAACCTGGTGGGCGGGGAGGGTCAGGTTGCAAAATTCTTAATCCGTAGTTTACCCAAATCCTTACGGGAAGCAGGAATTCGGCATTTCCATCTGCTCTGCTCTTCCCTTTTTCTCTGTCGTTGCTGGCAGGAGAAGTACAGAGAAAAAAGGGAGGTGGCGTGCTACGGCGAGCAAACATTATCTCCTAAAATAAAACATCGTCCCTTTTGGCAGTGGAGATGCTGTCTCRGGGGAAAGCAGCCTGAATTCCCAGAAGTGTGGCTTTTAAAGGCTCCCAGCTCCCAGCCCTGCATCTGCCTGTTCCCTCCCTCCCTCCCTCCTTGCCAGAGATTTCTGAGAAATCAGGCRTGCAGATTCCTCCTGAGAGCGAGCACTAAAGCCGGGATGGCTCCACGTCTATGAGAACATCTGGCCAATAAAGGGAGACTTAATGAAGCAGAACAGATGATGAGAGAAAATAGCCCTGTCGCTCCTTGGGACAGCAGGATCGAGGGAAGCAGGGACATTCCCAGGGTGGCTTCACGTCCTGAGCTGGGCTTTGCTCATGGGTGTCTGAAACCATTCCTGTAAGGAGAGCAGCAGGGTGGCAGCTCAGAAGGACAGAGCAGAGTTCAGAGGATCTGAGAGTGGGGGGTTTATCCAGTGCTTCAGCTCTTGATGCAGCTGGGTGCCAAGGGGAAACTGAGGAAAGTCCCGKAGCTCTGGCTTTTGGGTGTTGGGCTGTGCCCTGGTGATTCGGTGGCAGTCAGAGGTTGAGTTGTGCCGCTCTGAGGATGGTGTGAAACCCATCAGGATGGTCCAGTCTAAGGGAGGAGAGGCCACTGTGTGGCTGGTGACTTTTGGAGATTCCCTTGGAACTTGGTCCTCCGTGCTGATTCACTGCTGCTTTCCATTCTCTGGGGGTTTTGGCTGGCAGAGGGTGAGGCGTTGCAGCATCCAGGGTTTATTTCATGGCTGGGGTTCCCTGCATGGCTTTTGGGATGGTGTCACCAGAAACAGCAGGTCCCTSTGCTTGGGCAGGGCGATGCCATGAGCCCTGGGTGCATTCTGAGGYGACAGGACAGTAGGGCAGGTTTGGGATCTGTGGACTTGGCAAGCAGGAGTGGGAGCTTCTCCGCCAGTGAGAACCGATGCTGTCCCACCACATTTAGAAAGAAATGCATTTGCAGCACTCGTGGCTGCAGCCTGTGCATATCCACCAAGCTCCTACCTCTCTCATCCAGGTGCATTCCCAAAGCCAGCTGGTGCTCATCCTACGCCTTTCCCAGCCCCTCTCCAGGCTCTCCTCATTCTCTCAGTGTCTGTGCTGTTTGATTCCAGTGAAAGGAGGTGGCCGGCAGCAGCCTTCAGCATGGGCATCTCGGAATGGGGGAGATTTCTGCTGGAAATCCCAGCAGAGCTGGATCCTGCTGCCCCTGCTCCCCTAAAAACGTTTGTGCTGCTTGTTCTGCCTCTGTGCCGGCGCTCAGCCACTGCCCCAGTGTGGCAGACAGGGAGGAAAAGCACGATCCTGCTTCAGGAGATAACGATCCCTGGGGGTTTTCCTTTCAATGAGCAGCGGGGACAGTGTGAACAAAGCCTTTGGGGTTTGTCTGTGTTTTGAACGGCCTTGTCCTGCGGGGATGATGCCGTGGGCTCCGTGGGGCTGTGTCCCCTTTGTCAGGCCATGCCCAGGGGGTGTCCTGGGGCTGGGACGTGGCTTGGCAAGCTGGGGACACAAAATCCATTCTGCTCACACGCATCATCCCGGCTCCATGTCCTCCCTCCTCTCCTCCACCCTTCTGCTTTGCACTCGCAGGGGGAAGGTGATCTTCTGCCTTAAACATTGGGGTTTTCTTTTTTTTTTACATTTTTATTCCAGAAGGCGATGGGATTGTTTTGTCTCCTTGGAAAAGAGGGGCTGGGGCTCCKGGGGGGAGAGTGGGAAATCCCTACGGTACCTCTGCAGCAGTCACGGCTGGGTCAGTGGCTGTCACCTTATCCAACCTCGCCTCCTTYATGTGGCACCATCCCAAACCCCGCGCCTCGGGGCGAGCGTCACCTGCCGTCACCGTCACCGCGGGGCTGAACTGGCGTGTCACCATCACTGGGGGGTTCGGTCCCTGCTGAAACACCCCGGGAAAGGGGAAAGGCAGCATGGGCAGCACCCCGATGCTGGCACCCCAGCCCCGTTCCCGCTGGGAGCCAAAGGCTGCTCTGGCCCTGGCACAGCCAAGGCAAAGCGGGTGAGAGGCGCTGACCCTGCCTGGGAAGGTGCCCCGTGCCCGGACAGTCCCTCAAGCTCTACAAACCAAATCACAAACTCTCCGCTCCAGAGGAGAAATTTGGCATCCTGGTAGAACTTGCGATGACCTCTCCACCCCGTAGGTCCTCCTGGCGAAGGATCGGGGCTCGGAAGGAGCCCAGGGTGGAAATGCCAAAGTTCCCCCCGGGTCCCGCTGCCGCCTTCCTCTCCCCCTCCCCGCTGTGTTGGTCTAAATGATCTTTCTATGAAGCCCTGTAGATGTCAAAAGTAATTATGGAGTGTGATTAGTCCTCTGTGGGTGCTTTCTTTCTTTCTTTCCTCCTTTCTCTTTTGCTATCCCCTTCTCCACTCTTCTGTTTTGGCTCAGTGGAAAAGGTGAGGACAAAGAATTGCCGCTTGCTTGGACTCATGATGTATCTGTGACTGCGCTATTAGCTGTCTCCTCCTTCCTCCCCAAATGGATATAATTTTTGAAGTGTGGAATTCCCTTCTTGATAAGTAGGTTTAAGAAAAAAAAAAAAACAAAATACTGCACAATGTGATACTGTTTCATAGTTTCTAGGTGGTTGTATAAAGCAAAGTTACTGTGATTGTGTTTTTTCAAAGGAAAAAGTGATTGGTTACGAAATCTGTCCTTTTTTCATTATTACAARCTCTTTGTTTTCCAATGATCTGATGGCTCTTTTGTCCCTGGTCTCTGTGTGTGTGTTCCCAAGTCCCAGCCCTGCCCTTCATCCTGCTGCTCCTGCTCTCCTGGGCGCCGTGGGTGTCACTGTGGCTGGAGGTGGGGGACATCCGTGTCCTGGGAGGAGGGAGATGTGCAAGAAGGGGTTGGAGGTGGGCAGGAGGGGCTCTGGGGAAGTGGCCCAGGGCTCAAACCCAACATGCCAAGAGCTGATGCTGGAGGAAACCTCCTGCCCAGACCGTGCCATGCTGGCCAAAGGCTCCCAGTCCTTGTGGTGGCTTTGGTTGTCTCTGTCCGGCTCATCTCCAGTCCGAGGTGTTCTCCTGGCAGCACAGTGGCTGAGCAGCCCAGCYCCGGGTTGTTTGGGGTCTGTGCTTTCATTTTGCTCCTTAAATCTCTTTCATCATCGTCTCTTGCAATCAATCTCCCTCCAGAAGGGAGCCCAGTGCCTGGAAATCACTCTAAGCCTGTTGCTGCTCGCAGCAGCCGCTTGCTGGAGGTTTAATCCCGGCCCCGGCTCCCCRCTGGCATTCCCTGGCCGGTGGCAGGAGCCCTCCTGCTGCCCTTGCTTTGGCACCTCACCAGCTCCATGGGGACATCTCCCTGGCGCGTTTCAACTCCGAGGAGCCAGGATCCCCTTGTGGAAAGGCGTGGAGGTAAGGCTGGGCCCTGGTGTCGTGGGGGAGCTTGGGGCTGGGCCACAGGGGAAGATGCTCTGTCCATTCCCCATGGAGCCATCCCTGCTGTCAGCCAGCCCCTGTGGGGAARGAAGCCCTTGGGCTCGGGTTTGGCTGTGATGGGGGCCCCGGGGCCACCGGGGTGGCCGGGGACATTTTAAGGAGATAAAAGTGATTTCTTGCTGCTCGTGCTGGCAGGGGCCGGTGCGGCCAGAGCCAGGAGGATTAAAACAATTTCATAATCCTGGTGATTTCCTTTTGATCGGGATTATGAAACCAATCACGAATATCAAAACACAGCTTAAAGCGGCAGCTGGAGCAGGGCCGGGACGCCCCGGGCCCCCTCAGACCCCTCATGCCTGGCACCTCCAGGTAAGYGCTGCCCACCCGGGACCCCGTCCTGCCTGGTGGGGCCTCGGGGGGATCGATGGGGGGGTTTGGTGTGTGGGGAGCAGGCACGTGTGGCACGCTGCCTTTAGGGACAGGGATGTGCRCGGATGCGCCCAGCTCGCCTCCCACCATGCTCCCGCCTGGAAATGCCACGGGCCTGGCTCGCCGCGGCTCCAGGCASGATTTGGCCTCCGGGAAAGCAGAATTTAGCCCGGCTGCAAACGTGTGATGCTCACAGGAGGGTGTGGGGAGCTGGAGAAAGCCCGCCGGCCCCGGGAGCGCCGTCCCCATGGCGGAGGAGCGGGACAGCCCCCCCGGCACCCGGGGAGAGAGCCCGGCTCCGCTCCGCCGCCCTCCAGCCCGCAGMGCAGACAAAGGACATTCCTGAGAGCGGGCCGAGSCATCGCTCGGTCCCTGCTGTGCGGMTCCCCGGGTGGCAGCGCGGGTCACCCCATGTCCCCAGCGAGGCGGTGGCGTGGCCCCGCGGGGACCGGGCGGTCCGGGGCCGGCTTTGGCCGGGTGCCCCGGCGTGGGGTGCGCGGAGAGGAGGAGGAGGAGGAGGAGGAGGAGGCCGGGGCGGGAGGCAGGGCCAGCCACGGCCCCACAGCCCAGCCAAGCGGCTGAGCCCGGGCTCGGCTGGAGGGGCCGGGATTTGCTGGTTTGGCCGTTTTTTTTTTTTTTAATTTCTTTTTTTCCCTCCCCTGTTTCCTTCCCTTCTTCCGCTTTCTTCTCCTTCTTCCCAGCCCTCTCCCGATGCTGCTCCGGGGGTAAGGACAGCCCTCGCACCCCGCCCGTGGCCCCGTCCCGCTCAGCCCGGGSCAGTGAGGGGCTGCGGGGAGCCGGGGGGCGATTGGGGCCGGGGGGCGCCGCGGGGATGCTCCTGCGGCTCCGGCCACGGGGGAGGCTCCTCCAGGGGTACCCGCGGGGTCAGGATGCTCCTGGCGGGGCGCAGGAGGGCACCAGGGTGCCACCGGGACGGCGAGGCTGGCGCAAAGCGAGTGCCACGTGTGACCCCGGGGRCCGGGGGGAGCAGGGGCTGGCGTCTGTCTGGTGGCACCTCCGGCGAGTCGTAGCCGGGAGGGATTTCTGTTCTGTAGAGTTTCGGGGCCCTGRTTTGGCTCAGAAAATGCCGGTTCCCTCCGGGTCTTCTTGCTGAGTGCCACAGGCCGCCTGAAACAGCTTGAGGGGGTGACCCGCGCTCCTGCCCTGCCCCTGGCCACCCCCTTTGGGCAACCACCGATCCCCCGCTGCTGCCCCATTGCCCCTGCTCCCCAGCCACGCTGGCACAGTGTCGGTGCTCTGGGTGGGTGCATGGGTGGCCTCCTGCTGTGTCACCTCCTGTCCCCTTCCTCTCCAGGCACGTGCTGGTGGCATTGCGTGCATTTGYCCCCCAGGAAAGGTGGGGTGATGCCGTTTGTGGGAGCACCAGAGCGGGTGCTGGGGAGGCCGAGGGCCGTGCAGGGGTCACGCCCTGGGTTTTGTCCCTGCAGGACTGATGGAGGGGAGCCCGCCCGCTGAGGCGCGGCGCCTGCCGCGGCCCCCCAAGCAGCACAGCCCGAGCGGCCGCAGCGCTGCCCCGCCGGAGCGGCCCGAGCCCGCCCCCGGCCCCCACGCCGTGCTGGAGAGCAAGGTGAAGGCGCTCAAGGAGAAGCGGGGCGGACGGTCCGGGACCTCCGCGGCTGCCCCCGAGCGCCCCTCGCCCAAGAAGCCGCGGCCCCGGCGGGGRAAGGCGGGCGTGGAGSCGGCGGCGCTGGAGCCGCGGGCKCAGCTCCGGACCTACCTGACGGACGGGCTGCTGGACGGAGGGGAGCCGCTGCCGGACAGCCCCCCGGCCCCCCGAACCGGCACCCCGGGGCTCTGGCGGGTCCCGGCASCCAGGGGAGATGTGCTCGGAGGCCCCGAGCTGCCCCCGGACAAGGGCAGCAGGTCCTGGCGCTCTGCCTCCCTCCATGAGAGACCCTCCGTGGGGGAAGAGGYGCGGACCCCGCCGCGGGACCGGAGGGGTCCCTCTGTGTCCCCTCCCACGGCCGAGAGCTGGGAGAGGCTGTCGCTGGCTGAGCGGGTGGAGAGGAACCGGCGGCTGCTGCAGGAGGTGCTGGGCCTCGSCGCACCCGGTGTGTATTTTGGGAAGGCGGTGGCTCTTTCAGGACAGCTGGGGGAAGTGGGAGGGAAAACTTTTGGGCTGAAGAGAGTCCTCAGGCCCGTTCTCCCACRCTGCGTGTGCAGCTCCCTGCTGCCTCACACCCCAGGGCTGCCCCGTCGCTTTCATCGGGATGTGGGAGACGCCCACGAGATGCTCTGGGTGCTACCAGTCAGTCCTTTCTGGTGACCTGGTGAGGAATTTCACTGCTAAAAGCAAGAGCAAGAAACTTTCTGGGACACGCCACATCTGTGGGCATTCACTGACACTTTGCAAGCTGCCACCAGAAAAGAGAATTAATTTCTCCTTCGATAGCATCTACCCCAATAACCCCATGGTCCCATCCCCACARTCCCACACCTACAGCCAGGTGCTGTCGCCCCACATCCCACTCTGTTGGGATCTCCCAGAGCCAAACACCTGGGAGAACTCTGTGGAGGGTTTTGGGATGGGCACCCTGCATGGGGGTGCTATCAAGAGGGGAGGCCAGGGTAGCAGCTGCCATCCAGCCAGGCTGACGCCTTTCCCTGTCCTGTGTTCCAGAGATGCCGGCGAGTGACGGGGACTGGGACTCAGGGGTCTCGCTGCAGGACGCCGAGGGCTGCAGGTAGGTCAGTCCCAGGGTGGCAGAGATGGACATTTCCCTCTTTCCTGCTCTTGTGTTTCAAGTGCACCCCGTGAAGTGGCTCCAGGGAAGGGCTGTGGGGCAGCTGGTGAGGGAGCRTGGCTGAGCTCTGGCGATGCTTTGGTGTGGGAAGGGGCAGGAGCTGGGTGTCCACGTGGTGTCTGAGCATGGAAAGAAGCCTGCCAGGATGCCAGGGCAGGGAGGGAGCTGGGGAAGAGGATGGGACAGAAATTTGCTCCAGGTGCTTAAGAGGATCGAGGCGGCAGGCGTGCGTAATCTTGTTGGACTAATGAAAAACCCGAGAGGTACGGACTAAAAATAAGGAGGTGGGATGGGCAGGTGAGAGGCTGGATGCTGTGTGGGTAAAACAGGGGGTGGGGGATGAYTCCCCCAGTGTTGTGGCTCCTGGTTCTGCTCTGCTCTGGCAGCTGGATCAGTGATGGGGGCTGCAAGGCAGCGATGGGGGTGCTGCACCTGCCATGAGCAGGGGCAGCCACAGCCTGGGGGAAGCCTGGCCCCCCGTGCTGCTGCTGGGAGGGGCAGCCTGCACCCACCGTCCTGCACTGAAGAGGTTAAKGCCAGGCTTCCCGAAGCGACTGCCTGAGCTGATTATTTTAATCAGGAGGATTAGGGCCATGGCCAACCGGGAAGGCAGCGCTGCGGCAGGGAGAGCTGACAGGTCCCCACCCCGCAGTCAGAGGGGCTGGGGGCGCAGGGGAAGATCCCCTCCAAGGAAGGGAAGGCAGCAAGGCAGGGGCAGGGTCCCAAACCTACCTGCCTCCCCACCGCCGCGGGATTTACACCGGTGCAGATGGGAAGTAGTGCCTCCTTCAGTTTCCCTGTCCACCTCCGGGAGTGCCCGTGGCACAAAGCGCGGCCTCGGCTGAGCCTGCGCCCGCGCTGCGAGTGCTGAGCCTGCCCTAAATGCTCACCTGGTGCCGGGGCTCAGTGGTGCCCGCCTGGCCGTCCCCCGGCGCGGCCGCCAGCCCGCCCATGAATGGCGGCCGAGCCCCGTTTTCCCTGGGCAGGGCAGCCTCGTCGTCACTGTTAAAGCACGTCTAATCCCTGTTATTTTTTCCTAATCCCCCTCCCCGCTGCGGGACCRCAGGGCCTTTGTCCCCGGGCAGGATCTCGAGCTGAGCCCGCGGCACGAGCAGGCCAAGCAGCTGCTGCAGCGCGCCCGCATGAAGGCTCGGACGAACCCCCTGCGCGCCAGCCACGACATCCTCCTGCTCCCCGCCGCCGYCCCGCACCCCAGGTCAGTGCCACCKCCTGCCCCACGGTGCTCCCGGGGACACGGGACACGTCCAGAGCATGCAGCTGTGTGTGTGGAGGGTGCACATRTGTGCAGGCACGCGTGTGGAGCCAGGATCTGTGCACCCTGGGTGCAGGAGCATCCCCTGCCCCACTTCTTTGCAGCACAATGTTTGTGGGTGTTCAGTTAGGTGTGTTTTATGATGGCATGGAGGTGTTAACGGGGGGAGGGTGGYGTTTCCCAGCTGATGGGGAATGTTTTCCCGGGGGAGACTCAGTGCTGGAGGCTGGACCGCAGCGGCATCTCGCCGTGTGTGCCGGGTCATGTGCGAGGTGGTGTTCCTGGAATGATTAACCACGCACCTCGGGGCAGGGAAGGGGCGATGGAGGTCGAGCCTCGGCAGCCCGTCCGGATTCCAGCTTCAGGCTGGGGGGAAGCGGGGCTGTGCACCGCCGGGGAGTACCGGGCGCGCTTTCCTCCTCGCCCCATCTTTTGCACTTGGTTTTCCCCCTCCCGCCCCGCTCTCCCAGGGTTGCCGGGCAGCCCCYGCAGCTCGCCCGCGTCCGTCTGTCTGTCCCCATGGCAGGGAGCCCAGCGGGAGGCTGAGCGTCGCTCCGCGGGACGGCGGCAGCCTGAGCGACTCGTCCAGCGGGGAGTCGAGCTGCGGGCGGCCGCGGCGGCCGCGGGGACCGTCCCCATCCCGCGTCCGCTTCGAGGACGAGTCGGCCCGGGACGCCGAGGTGCGCTACCTGGAGCGGCTGCAGCTGCGGCACCGGCGGGCGCTGGGCTCGGCGCTCCCCTCGCCGGAGCCGGCCGGCAGCAGGCAGCCGGGGGACGGGGCTGGCCAGCCCAAAGCCCGCAGTGGCGACCTCGTGGCCGGGGGCAAATGCAGCGCCTGCGGCTCCTTCCTCGGTGCCGCCGCCGGCCGGGGCACGGACACGCAAGCTGCCCCCGACGCGGTCAGAAGTAGCCCCGCGGCACAAAGAAGCGTCCCGGGGGAGGGCAGAGGGCCGAGCCCCGCCCAGACGGAGCCCAAAATCAGACCTCTGGGCCCCGGAGGGTCCCCGCTGTGGATCCTGCCCTCCCGGCAGCGCATCCACACCGAGAAGATCAAGGAGACTTACATCGGGGATGTCACCTACATTGATGAGGTGGACTCRGCCCTGGAGAGCACCGACACGTCCGACGGCTGCCGGACGGACAGCGAGGAGGCGGGACCCCGCAGCCCCCACCTGCGGGGGCACCGCGACCCCCGGACTCGCGGGCACAGAACTCCCCGTGCCGCCCCGCAGCCGGAGGCGAGGCCCAGGAAGGGGACGGGTGTGGCCAGCGGTGGCCCCGGTGCCAAGGATGGGGACTCGAGTACTGCCACAAAACAAACGGGGGCTGTTTGCCCCCCTCCACCGGGAAGAACCAGGGAAGACGGGGAACCCCATCRGCATCTGGGGGACAGCAAGGGAGTGGGAAACACCGCTCGTCCCTTGCAGCAGCCCAACGAGCCCCAGGAGCCTTCCCCACAGCTGAGRACCAGCACCCCCATTCCAGGCACCCACGTCCCTGCTCCCCCTCCTACCAAGAAGGCCTGCTCTCAGGTGCCTTGCAGGAAAGCCCTGTTCTGCAGCAGCAGCCGCCAGGCATCAAGCCAAGGAGCCCGGGGCCCAGAGCCAGATGCTGGCAGTGCCACCCCAGCCCAGCCCGGGGACACRGCAGGGCCAAGTGAGCGGCGGAGTCCCTGCAGCCCCAGGTGGCTCCCGAGGAGCCCCCTCCGTGCCTTGTCCACCAACAACTGCAACAACACCCACGGGCAGGACGCCCCGGGGACGGACAGAGGTAAGAGATGCTYGCACAGGGTGCTGGGGGGTCCCCAATGAAGCAGGCGTGTGACTGTCTCACTGTGGTTGCAGGGGCACTGTCACACCCTGCCGCCAGCCCTGTCACCCCCGTGCCCCAGGAGGCTGCTCGTCCTGCTGGGGAAGGTGCCGGGACACCGGGAGCGCAGCAGCAGCCGGCTGGGAACACAGCACACGGGTGAGCGAGCGTGAGGGGCCGCAGCATCCCAAACGTGCACCCCTGAGCATCCCTGCTGGGCACTGCAGRATGCTGCTGGGCTGAGCTCCCRGAGGATTCCTGGTGGGACTCAACCCTTGGGCTCAAAAAACCTCCCAGAAACCAAAGTGTGGGGATGACAAYGTGCCCATGTGTTGCTCTGGTCTTGCGGGAGCTGCATTTCGCCACATCTCAGTTTTCCAGGGGTGTTAGAGCAAATGTGACAGAGGGGATTTGCTGGTGTTGGGTTCTCTCCTTTTGGGGAACATCAGCTGCCTTGGGGCTTCCCAGGTGCGATCCTGCTGGCCCTGTGCCTGGGGCTATGTGTCTCAGCCTGGCAGGAGAATTCTGAGGTGGTGCTGGGTCCTTTGAGCCCATTGTGATCCACTGGGGCAGAGCAGGGGAGTTCTGAGAGGTGTTCAACCTCTAAAATAATGGGGCAAGTGGGAAGGGTGCCTTTCAAGTCACAAACTTGTGTGTGTTGGGTCACTGCTGGGGGGAGGTGGCTGYCCCTAATCTCCCCATGCACCCCGATGTCACTGTGCTGCAGCTCTCAAGGCTGCCAGGGCGGCTGCAGGATGCACCCCAGCCCAGAGGCAGCTGCGGGTCCTGCTGCAGTCCCAGACACACGGTGGGTGACGGCCATACCTCTCCACGCAGGGAGCCGGGGCGGCCCGTGAGCCGCAAGGGCAGCAGCGCTTCGGCCTCGGGGCTGAAGAAGCTCCTGTGCAGCCTGAGCCAGAGCACCAAGCAGCGCCTGGGCCGCTTCCGCTGCTACAGCATGGAGCAGCTCCCGGCCCCTGGCGGCTCCCCACCGGCTGACCCCGGCGTCAAGAAATCACCATCCCTGCAGTCCCTGCAGCTGGTGAGTTTGGACATGGCCCTGTGTGGGGGGTGCCCATGGGAAGAGCACAAGAGCATAAGAGAAGGGATGCTTGGCTGGCAAGAAGCATTCCTGGGCATGGATTTATGGCTCCAGTGATCCTGGGGGATTTGGGGGCATGTGCCACCCCAAACTTGCTGAGTTTGAAAAGCCCAAAGCCAACTGGGAAGTGGAAGGGGGAAGGAGGGAGAGAGGGGATAGTGGAAGAGCAGACACACTCCTCCTTCGTCAGCAGTGTGTTGGTTAGTGCTCCAGGAGGTGGGATGCCCCAATACCCCGTTCCCTTGGCACATCAGTGGGTGAAGCACTGCAGTGCTGCACAATGTTTGTCATCATCTCAGCCAGGTGCTTTTCCCCAGGTGTCGCCCTTCTGCCAGCCCCAAAAAGCCGCCTCTATCCAGAGCCTGCATCCWCAGCTGGGCAAGGCATCCCGCGCCAGCGCCTACCTCCTGCCCCAGACCACGGCTGACAGGTAGGATGTGCACCCGGGAAGGCTGTTGTGGGATGCTGTGATTGCTCAGTGCAGCCAGGGGCTGCATCACCCCATCTCCAGCAGGTTCCCGTGTCCCCACTCACCCGTGTCCCCTCTCCACAGGAAGGGGGGCTCAGGGCCGCGGCGCTCGCTGAGCGTGGAGGACATCGGGGCKCCCGGCCGGCTGCGCGCGGTGGGGCGCGTGGTCGAGGTCTTTCCTGATGGCACCAGCCAGCTGGARCTGCAGMGACCCCCCCACGGCGCCTTTGGGTTCTCCGTCACCTCCGGACACGGCCGGCCCGACACAGGTATAGTGGGATCATCCCAAAGTTTTGGCACAGCACGGTCCCTCCAGGATGGCTCTTGTCCCTCCCCAGAGGTGACAGCAGATGAGGGGGACGCTGCCATGCATGGCTTTGGCCAGGCACGGTCCCACGTGTCCATCAGCCCGTGCCAAAGGCTGTTTATCACAGGTTTATTCCTGCGCAGCTGCTGTGCACCCCAGGGCAGGGAGGGCTCTCACCCGTCCCCGTTCCCTCCGCAGGTGTCTACGTGCAGGAGATGGTGGATGCCGGCACGGCCAAGCTCTATGCGGGGCTCCTGGGTGTGGGGGACGAGATCCTGCAGGTCAACGGTGCCACCGTCTCAGGGCTGGGGCTGGCCCGCATCCGTGAGCTGCTGCTCCAGGCAGACACCCTGTCCCTCCGCGTGCTCCGGCACCGCCCGGCGCCACGGTAGCCCTGGCACGGCTCCTGCGAAGCCCGCCGGGATGAGGTCCCAGTGATGTCCCAGGATGGCAGAATGACACGGCACGGACCAAGCTGCAGTGCCAGGACCTGCACATGCTCCACTGCAGTGGGGGCAGGTGGCTTTCCTGGCCCCGTGTGGGCCCAGGGACTCCCCAGAGTCTCCAGGAGCTGCCCAACTGTGGGGACAGGGGACAGCCCTGAACTGGGTATATCTGTCCTGCTGGGCACTGGGGTGAGCAGCAGGGGGACACCCCATCTCCRTGACCCCAGGTCCAGAGGGCTCCCTACCAGCACTGCCACTCTGTGCTGGAGGGCTGGTAGGGTTCTTTTAARTTATTTCAAACTGAAACTCAAAAATATATCTCTGCAATAACAAAACAGTGCCCTTAGCTTGTGGCATAGAGGGGCTGGGGTGGCACTTGCTGGCATGGGGCCTTTGCTACTTGTTTTGCCATGGCCCTGCTGCTCCACCAGCTACCTCCTGACCACGTTGTGCTGCTGGGGGGCCCTGGGCAGGCAGATGGGGGGCTCAGCCACCTGTAGGACTTCTTGGGGAATTTGAGGGGCTTTTTCCACTCATAGAAGGCAAAACACATCCTTGGAATGCATCCCTCCAGCAACAGTGGCATGGCAGCAATGGCTGCCCTCTGTACCTTGGTGCCCCAATCTGGGTACGGCTGCCTGCTGCATCTCCTGTATCTGGGCACACCATGCTGACATGACCCCGAAAACGGCAGCTGCTGCTTATGCCTCAAAAGCCAGGAAGGTGATGCCTGCCAAATGCTGCTGGGAGAGCTTTTCCCACTCCCAGGTGCCAGGAGACCCGCAGCTTGTCACGGGAGTAAGAGTCAGGCAAGAAAGATCAGAGAGCTGCGCTGCTGCACCTTTATTTAGTGTTAAAGGGAGGGGCACCACCAGCGACAGAGAAGCAAATGTACACAGGAAAAGGGACCAGAGACACTCGGGTGGCTTGTGGTGATGCCAGCAGCTGGGCCACCCCCTGGACTACCAAAGGAGCGGTCCTGCATGGGAGTCATTCCCAAAGGATGCACGACCAGGGTGAAAGTAACGCGGGGATCAGAGGTGTGCCAACACCGGCCGGCAGCGAGCCCTGCTCCCTGCCCAGACTCGCACTCCTGGGAACCTGCTCCTGGAGAGGCACAAACCCACGGAGYGGTGCAGACACTATTCCAGCCAGCCTTGGAGAGCAGACACCACCCACTCCCTGCAGCGTAACCAAAAGAAACGGGATGCTCTGCAAGGATAAGGAGCCACTTTGGGATCAGGAGTGCGGGTGGGCGCCGAGGCACCACGTGTGCGTTACTGACGAGCAGCTGGGCGGGCGGGGAGGTTCCGTCCGGCCCCGCCCGGCTGCGGAAGGCACGGAGCCGCTGGCTGTGCATCCAGCGCCTGCGGGAGGGAAAGGGGAGCCACGCAGACCTCGGAGGGAGCCACGAAGCCGGGAGGGGGAGGAGTGTTCAGTCCCGGAGGTAAAGCCGTCCGGTGGCGAGTTTCTAAGGCGGGGTGGGGGATGATTTTGGGGGTGATTTGCAATTTCAGCATAAGTCTTTGCATCAGCGCCAATTAACTTCCTCCCCCAGCCCCATCTGGGAGCCATAAGCCAGCCTGTTCTGAGTCTTCGCATGTTTGCAACTTAAAATACGGGAGCAGACTGGAGTAAGAAAGCGTTTTTGCTTCCCTGAAGTCACCCATATCCTACAACCAGTGCTCGCAGCAYGACCCCTCTGCCTGTTCCTTCCCGGTGACACTGCCCAGATGAGCTTTTTTCACCACGTTTTTGGTACTGCGCACCTGGCTACTCCACATGCCCTGTAGGGAATCCGACACTGCTGAGACAACTCGAGTGACAAACAACTGGGAGGTAACAAAAGGACTGGGAAGGAATACGGAAACATGATCCAGATTTGAATCTCTGACCTTTTGGTTGCGTACAACAGAGGTGTCCAAAAAATAGCGGTTGGGAAAAATGAAGACATCCTATTTACAAGTTCATTTACACTTAAAATACATCACTGAGCACCGTTCCTCTGTTCATGTGTGTCGTGCATCCACAGAGAGAACGTGGCTCGAATGGTCATCAAAAAAATCTTTAGGTTTTTTTTTTTTCCTTAAAAAAAATAAGTTATTTTAGACCTGACAAATCACTTGCCAAAGGGAAGCAGCTGTTAAACAGAAGCAGTGACTCAGTTATACAAGGGCAAAGAAAGCATCAATGAGCTTTAGAGGCCTGTATAACGAGGGAGGCAATTTTAAAAGCTTTAACATCCTCCCTCTCTGGCTCACAGCTGATTGCCAGCGCTCAGGGTGCAGCACCCCAGCTTTAAAGCTCTGGGGTGTCTGACAGGGCCTGGGTGGCTGACAGCAGGACATAAAACCCTACAGCCCTGCCCTCCGCCCAGGTGYGGAGGGTAGGAAGGCTCTGCTGGGACTCACCGTGCTCTCCTGGAAGTGAACCGGTGGCACAGAGCCAGCCCACGGGAGGCAGTGAGGGGGAGCAGAGCCAGGGCTCCCCTCCCTTGCTGCAGCTCGGAGGCTTTCACCCTTCSCAGTAATGCTTGGGGCTGGCACTGGCAATGCAGTTTGTAATGCTCAGTGAACTCAGTAATTCCTCCCCGTCCCATCCTCCCCAGGGCTCACTGCTCTGTCCGCATCCCACCGGCTCCTACCTGCACCAGGTGGAAGCGTGGGGGTCAAGTCCCCCTCCAGCTCCCCGGGCCCAGACCTGGAGCCCAGGCCCAGATCACACCACACCAGGGGAGGAGGCAGCTGCAGTCCTCCAGCCCCTCTCCCCGGGGCCAGGGAGATGCCGGCGAAGCCGAGCTGCAGTCCTTGGAGGAGGATGGTGAGAACTGGTGTGGGTGTTCCTGCCAGGAATCTCTGTGGGTGGACGGAAACGGGGAGAGTTTCATTTGCCGGCGCTGCCGGGGCCAAGGGGCGGGGAGGGGGCGTCCCAGGAAGTTCAGTTTTTGTCATCACAGGACAAAAAACAGGATGAGCACCACTAGCAAGATGACGAAGAGGACAACAATTGCACACCACTGCCGTCGATCTGGAAAGAAAAGGAAGCATCAGTCTTCCTGCTTTRGTGGAGAAGGAAAATTGGGGGACCATTTTTCTTCATGTACTGCTAGGAACCAAATTCAGGCTTAAGCCATAAAATCCAAAACAACAGCTCCTGGGGGAGAAAGGCTTTGGCGCTGTATATTGCAGTGAGGCATTCTCCTCCAGGATACCATGGGGTTTGGGAACAGCTGTGGGAATTCTGAGACTTCTTCCCAACCAAGTTCAAAGCTTTGAAAAGCTGGCTCCAAAGCAATTAGGAGGAACAAGCAGAGAGCTGCTGTGTTTGCTGTTCATTCATGGAGTAATCTGTTTGCCAGAGGAACAAAAAGGGATCCGGTGAAAGCTGCCCTGAGGACCTCTGCCAGGAAGAGATTGTGGCRGCTTCCCTTAGGACAGGGCCAGGAATCAGGTTTCCCTCCACATCTTTAAACCTCATTGGCTCAACACTACATCTCCTCTGAGAGCAGCTGTCTGCCCCTGTGAGATGATGATGCAGCAGTGGGGACAGGGCTGCTGGCACCCCCTCAATTCCTAAGCATAGCAGCTACCCCARAAAAAGCCCTCCTGCCCTCCCTGGCACATGTGATGCCAGCAGAAAACGCTCTTTCACAATGCTCAGAAACACTCCGTGAAGATTCATGGTTTTTCCCAGAGGAAAGGGCAGAAACACAAAGTTTTCCCGTGGTYGTGCTGCTGCTGAGCTACTGGTGACCCAAAATGCACTGTCAGCACTCCAAGTAGTCTCTCTAGGGCTCCACTTCCACCACCTCATAAATCCCCSGGACAGTCTAATCCTGCTGAGCAGGACTGCTTTTCCTTCTGACTGGCTGYTGCCTTCCCAAGGTACTGAGCACCCACAGGAGAGGGGTGCTGCAGGAGGCGCTGGCCGGGCACAGTGCCAGGCTCGGAGGCAGCCAGCAGCGTGGGACTTCCCGGCAGGCAGGCCGGGCTTCCTGTTTGCTCTGCCCGCAGCCCCGCCAGCCCCCCAGCTTCTAGCACAGCCTTATAAGGACTTCTCTGTGGGTTCATGGCAGAATTCAGCTTTTTACCAGCTGAGAGATCTGACCGACAGGCCTGTGGGCGCCAGCAGCCCAAGGGCAGGTGGGATTTGGGAAGGGGATTGCCGCAGGCATTCTGGTGTGGGAGAAGCCACACAGCATGGCCGGTGTTTAATGGCACCTTGACAGCTTTTGTTCCACAGACAACCCGGGAAACTGCAGCAGAGGAGGAGGCTGCAGAGCTTCCCCTCCCACCAGCTAGAGGGGGATTTTCCCAGCAGCAGCAGCATAAATAGAAAGGCATCTGTAAATAAAACAAAGGCAAGGGACAAGCAGCAGAGCAATGTCTGGGCAGGAGCAGCTGCCGGGCTTGGAAGTCTTYCCCCTCTTTCAAGAGCTGAGAGCTGCTTCCTCCCCTCTGCTGGGTGGGTGGGAGCACAAAGTGTCCCAGCCCAAAGATCCAAGGGCTCATCTCTCCCTTTCCAGGACTGGATCSCACATCCCAGGACCTACCACTCGTCATGTGAGACACTTTGGCSAGCTTCTTCATGACGTTATCAAGGCGCGACTGAGTGCTGTCTAACTCGTGGGAGAAGTCATCCAGCATCCTGGGGACACAGAAGCAGGGCACTGGTCAGCACATGGCACATCTGGGATTTTGCTGCATGCTCACACACATGGGATCAATACACCAATGGGATCAGAGTATCACACCTTGGCAGACTGAATGAATGTGGCCTCCTCTCCTGGAAGCATGCAAGGGAGGGGAAAAAAACCTGCTAAAACAGCAGCTCTGCTTTGGTGGGAAGTAACTCGGGACTCCTGCCAGACTGATCCTCCCTGTGTGTTTGTGGCTCAACTCTACATACATCTGCAAGGTGAGGAGTGGGAGGGGGCTTCCTCTTTACAAAAGGAAAGYCTCATTTATAATCTGATAAGCAGAGACTGGTTAGATGTAGGTGTCAGCTTAGACTTTAAATCTCTTTTCTTGTTCAGGGCTTGCAGCTGCAGCTAAAATCTTGTTTCAGTCATGTATCAAGTGAGAATGAGATCTGCAGTTGGTTTCAAACTGCTTTTCAAGCTCTGTATGGAAGTTACCCCTTCTACCACACAGTGACTGTAATGAATCTGCAAGCCTTCCTGAGTCCATGCTTTGTCAATGCCATTGCACATCCACAATCAAGGTACCGATCCAATTGTCTCCAGACAGTGGGACTTTAAAGCTTAATGCATTTAAAAAGACAGACTCCTTCATTTGCAGTGCCAGGGCAYTTGTTCAACCTTCATTCAGTGGGGAAAAAGGAGGGGTTGTAAAAACCTCACTGTGGAAGTTATGAGCTAATCTAGCAAGCACTGGTAGTTTTGTGTGATGATCTAGAAACACCAATGCCACACCAATCTCCWCTGTGAGAGCAGAGGACTCTCATGCTGCACAGCTTCACACGGGAGGGGGGTTTAAAGCTCCTTCTCTCCATCAAAGATGAAATCACTTCACAAGGGACACGGCCCTCCAGACTCCTACCAGCCAAACAAGGAGGGGTTTTAGGCATGAACCCTTCAAGCCTCTCTGGAAGCATAGCTGTTAGCCTGCACAACTGGGAACTTGTTTGCAAAGGACAAGAACTGGGAAAGAAATCTAATTTATATGTAAATGGATGGATGCAAAATGACTTTGTGAGCTGCCCTTTAACTCTTTGCGTGGGTGAAGGCTATTTTTAGCTTTAGTGATGAAGAGCAGCTCTGTGCTGCGTGTTTCAGGGCAGCAAGGCAGAGCTGAGGGCTCCTGGCCCT